TAATGCAGCATTTATTTGGAAGATGAGGATCCCAGGAAATGCTGGTGAAGGAACAAGGAAGAGAGGCAAAGAGAAAGGCAGCAAGTTAGCATCTGAGTCCTTGTCTCAGGATGTGCCCCTAGTGGGACTTAAGGCTTCTTGTGATGGCAAGTAGCCTAAGGAAGCAGATGCTCAGAATGGGAATCGAGTGTCAAAAGATAAACTGAGGCATATTAAATTTTAAGAGTTTATTTGAGCAAAAATCAATTCAAATCGGGCAGCACCAAACCGGAAGTGATTAGGAGCTCTCCATCCACAGGATCCAGGGGAAAAACATATAAAGTGCAGAAACAAAGAAAGGAAATCATTTGGTTGGCTATAGCTTAAAGCCTAGTTGGCTATTTGTGAATTGTTGTCCTCAGGTTTCGATTTCATAACGTCAAGGCATCTACAGGCTTAGATTCGTTTGCTTATGTAAGCCACCATGGCATTAGAGTTTAATTACTTTAACACTAGAATTGGGTCACTCACTGGCCAGATTGCAACAAGGACCCCAATACCGATAGAAAGTGGGTAGGGACAACACCTGTATGCTGGAGATCACATTGCTAGGACCCTAACCTGAGGGTAATTGGGACGGGATACAAGTCTTTGATTATGCTAATGAGGTTCATCTTTTTTTCTTACATTAAAGCGTTTAATTATTAGTTAAAATTCAAATAAATCTGGCAAAAACATTTTAAATTGTGTGCCAAACAAAATGCTTAACTTTAAAGAGCACTTACAAATCAGAGAGCGAAGATGGACACATTAAAATCCCCAAAAGAAAGAGCAAATGATAGGTCAGGTCTTGCACGCAGGCACAATGTAAACAGCCACCAAATCTGTGGAAAAAAGGAAACACAAATCTATCGACCTGGATTGAGTTAGGAAAACAAACCACTCTCAGAATTTCAAGTAGGTAGGGACTTCAAGCAGGGAGTTAGGTGTTTACAAAACACTTGGAAAAGCTAGAGGGAGGAAATCAGGGGGGGCCACTGCTACCTCTCAGGTTTCCTCCACAGAATCAGGAAGTTGCTACTGACGCTCAGGCCAGGAGTAGCTGGAAAGCGCTGTGAATGGTCGTAGCTGCCAGCAGCAAGGAGACCCACCCTCCCCTGCAGAGGCCACCGCAAAACTCGAGGTCGGCAGAAGCCCTGACTTCGCCCCCTACTTCCAGGAGAATGATGGCTTCTGCAATTTGGGGCAGCTTCCAAATCTTGCCTGAGGACCTCTCCATGATAGAGTGTAGACTGGTATACTACTGGAAAAGGTTCTGAAAAATGTAGATCCAGTTACCAGTCTTGTGAAACAAGGAGGGAGAATAGAGGTGGGAGGAAAAGAACGCTGCTGAATGCAACAGACAACAAAATGGCGTGGTCTGTCCATCGTTGGCCAGATTATAAAATAAAATGCCAATGGAACATAGTCCATGAGGTTGATTACCTACAGAAAGAGGGTACAAATTTACACTTTTACCAGCTTTGTTTCCAGTTTGATAAAATATAACCACTTAAAATATGCACATTAACTGACCCACCAACCCAATTCAAGGAATTGATCTTACGGTGACAATCACACAAATTCACAAGAATGTATATGTGCAGATCCTCGTCACACAGACAAGCTTAAACATCCATAACTAGGACTTTGATCAAATATTCTAAATGAGACAATGAGTAGCATGCAGCTGCTAAACGTGAGAGATATCTGTATTTATTGATACACTATTTTTCTGAGTCTTCCATTGCCCTTAGGATAAAAGTCCAAATCCTTACCTACAGAGCTCTGGGAGCTGTGTCCTTGTTTACTTCCTCAACTTCGTGTCATGCTGCTCCTACCCAGACCAAACATGCCTCTGCCACATGGGTGACCTGCCAGTGCCTCTTTCCTTTCTGTGGCCCCATTCACACTGATCTGGAACATTCTGTAAGTTGTTTATCAGCCCATTTAGGCATTTATGTAAACGCACTTGTGAATATATGTGTAGAGAAAATGGATTTAAAAAGGAAGTTATTCTTGTATTTCTATATCTGTGGTTATATTTGAAACTCTATGGAAGCTTATTAAATTACTTTGCAATTCTATGACAGTTCGTTTGAAAATCTAGAGGAAATTATTCATAAAACTTGGTGACAGATTTGGAAATCTAGTGGAAACAGATGCTTTTCTAGCAAAATGTTTAAAAAATGACTCAGCAAGAGAGAATTTGACCAACTTCATAACCGTAGAAAACATTTCTGTGTCATTAAGTTTAGATGTTTCTCCTGAAATATCATAGAGGTAAGTTTTGTCTTATAAACCAGTTTCAGAGTGTATCATATGTGTAGAGAAGTGTTTACAACATATATGGGTATTTGCTTTATTTTTCTTTAAATATGTATACTCTCCAGATTAAAATGCTATAAAAATGTTACCTGTGCCATGGAAGTCCTCTATGTGCCTCCCTCATAGCATCCCAGAGATTAACACAAAGTTAGCACACTGCTTATGGCTTCATTATTTTATCAATGTAAATTCCATGTAGGGATACCAAAACAATATATTGCATAGCTTTTTAAAAAACTGCAAGCATCAACCTAGCTAGGGAAAGGGCACTAAGACCTCTGTTGTACAAAGGCTCTTATGAGAAGAGCAACTATAAACAGACTCCTTGGGTCCCAGTCTGCCATCAGCTTCCCTGTTTGCAAGAGCCCATTCTGGTACAGGTGGTAGACAAGCTCATAAGTGAGTTCTGGGAGACAAAGCTCACCACAGTTGGGACATAGAGCAGATTGCAAGAAGGAAGAGGCTGACCTGTATTTTCTGCTTTTAGGCTCTCCCTTGCCTACCTCCAGTTCTGAGGAATAGATCAAGACAACAGTTGTGTTCAGAAATTAGTGTCCTCTGGTGCTTCCAGCATCCAGACCAAGAGGGAGAGCAAGAACTTCATCAACACAAGTTCAAGACAAACCAAACACCAAAAGAAAACGGCTTACCTGGAGAACTTGTCCTCTGATGAAAGAGATGTCTCTTGGATTGCTCACCCTTGGGACATTCCTTTTAGGAACCCAACCACCGAGCTATGAGAAGTCCAAGCTCCATGAAGAGGCCACCTATAAGCACACCAGTGCCTACCCCAGTGGACAGCTGGACACCAGCCAAGCCAGCATCAACTGCCAACCATGCCAGTGACCCATCTTAGCATCTAGCCCAGTGGAGCTTTCAGATGACCCCCACATCCTGTGTGGTTAATCTGATGTGTTACTTTGGGTAGGCTTATGGGGCCCAGCCTAGATATTGTCATAAAAGCATTTCTTGGATGTGATTAACATTTAAATCAGTAGACTTTGAATAAAGCAGATTACCCTCCACAATGCATATGGGCCTCTGCCAATCAGTTGAAGGTATTAAAAGTAAAAGTTGAGGACCCCTAAAGAGAAGGGCATTCTGCCTCCAGATTGCAATGTAGAAGTTCTGCCTGAGTTTCCAGCCTTCAGACTCAAGACTACAACATCAACTCTTGCCTAAATTTCCCAGCTTCTGGCCTGTCCTGCAGATTTCAGATGCCAACCTCTGCAATCATCCAGATCTGCTCAATCTGAAAGGCTGAGCAGACAGACAAAAATCCCTCTCTATCTATAGATGTGTGTGCATATACATACACACACACATAGCCCATTGGTTCTGTTTCTCTGGAGAATCCTGACTAATACACTATGATGGTTGATTTGTGTCAACTTGGCTGGGCCATGATGCCTATATATTTGGACCAACATTATTCTGGAAGTCTCTCCAAGAGTGCTTTTGGATGAGACTAACATTTAAATCAGTGGACTTTGGGTAAATCAGATTGGACAAGGCCCACCTGCATGATTGAGGGCAATCATTCATGGCCTGAATGGAACAGAGGATTGACCACCCATGAGCAAGAGAGACTTCTCCCAGAAGACAGCCTTGGGACTTGAACTGCAACATCAACTCTTCCCTGGGTCTCTGCTGGTCCACACTGAAGAATATGGACTTCCCAGACTTCATAATGGTGTAAGCCAATTCCTTAATATAAATCTATATACATCCTATTGGTTCTGTTTCTCTGGAGAACCCTAATACATATACCAACTACAACCACAACTACACAAATACAACTACAATTGCAAGAGCACTCCCAAGCAAGGACCACCTGGCTGAGCCCAATTAACCCACAGAACCATGAGAGAGAATAATGAATTGTTTTAAGCCTCTAAGAATTGAGATGGTTTGTTATGTAGCAATAGATAACTGGAACACGGAGTTCACGTGGGTTTTTTTTTTTACTCACAACCAAAAGAATCTTCACAAACACAATATCTATCTTTCCTTTTAACTTAGTTTTTCCTGTGAGGTCTTGATAGTTGAGGCTCTTTATTCTCCCCAATTTCCCGTAGTAACTCCACTTTATAGATTAGACTGGTCATTCTAATACCGACCCAGATATCAGTTTCCCCACATTAAACCCAGCATATATGGGATTAAAACCAAAACACTCATTCCCTGCTTACTCTCTGGCTTCCTGGCTGCAGAATCCACTCTCCTCCATGGAGACAGACACCGCCAAGGACAAGCACCTGGACTATCTCCTCCCGCAAAGAGATACTGGCTGGTGGGAAAGCTGCTGACCAGCAAGGTCATGAGCTCTCTCCTCTCTGCAAGTAGTCTCAAGACCAAAGACAGGCTGGTGGGAAAGCTCCAACCAGCAACGCCATATGCTCCCCCTCCCCTACCTAAAACCCCAAATAAAAACCCTTCCTTTAAGCTTTTCAGGGAGTTTGGGATTTCAGCGTTAGCTGCCCGCCCTCCTTGCTCAGCGCTGTGCAAAAATAAAATTCCTACTTTCTTCCACCACACCTGGTGTCAGAGATTGGCTTGCTGCACAACGGGTGAGTGAACTCACTTTAGGTTCGGTAACAATTCCAGCAGGATTGGGGGAAAGGCAGAGAGTCACATATATATGCATAATCAAGTACTTTTAGAACTTTTATTGTGGATCTTTTCTCTCCATCGAGTTGGATCATTTATCAATATAAAATAGCCCTTCATTCCATTTCATACTACGTCTGAAATCAATATCTCCACGCCATCTTCCTTTTTGTTTGCACTGCCCTGAAACAAAAACAGAAGGTTAAAGATAGAAGGACAGGGGCTGGCCCCGTGGCCGAGTGGTTAAGTTCGCGCGCTCCGCTGCAGGCGGCCCAGTGTTTTGTTGGTTCGGATCCTGGGCGCGGACATGGCACTGCTCATCGGACCACGCTGGGGCGGTGTCCCACATGCCACAACTAGAAGGACCCACGATGAAGAATATACAACTATGTACCAGGGGGCTTTGGGGAGAAAAAGGAAAAAATAAAAATCTTAAAAAATAATAAAAAAGATAGGACAAACAAGTTTATGTGAGTTTCTTATAAGCAACATGTAGCTGGGGGTTTTTTTTAGCCCAATCTGAGAGTTGGGCATTTGTTTTGTTTTTTAATAAATGAGTTTAAATTTATACTTTCCTGATATGGGGTTCTTTTGCAAAATTAGATGGTGCTTTCAATTCTGGCTGTTCACATATGAAGGCAAGACAAGTTCAGTTATGACCTTGGACAGTGTTCCCCAGAGAGCTTTCTCCAAAGCAGGGAAGAGTGGTGTAAAAGGACTGACTGTACTTAAGCCAGTTAAGTGTTGCTGGAATTGGGTTAATTATAGTACATAAATCAGTACTGGTGCAAGGATGATATTTAATCGTGTATGTATATAAACCTTGACTCCACACATACGCAAACTAAATCTAGATAGTTTTAGTATTCGAATTGAGTTTATATCCATTGTTCAGAGAATATAATGTCAGACATATTAGTTTGCTAAGAGCAATCTGGAGTCTAAAGTGATCTGCATCACATTATCACATCACATTATCACAAAAGCTTGAAGTGCAACTTTCATTGTAAGAGTATAAAAAGCAAACTACATTTTAGAGGGAACCTAATAAACGCCCCGCCCTCCATTCCCCACGGGCTTCGGAACACATTCAGAGAACATATGAGGGAGTAGCAGATGGAGCTCCAAAGTATGAGCTTTATCACTGATAAAGGCGAAGCTGGAGGTTGTAAACTGAGAGAGCCCAAAGGTCTTGCTGAGCGAGCCACCGAGTTAAGCAAGCACACCCACTCCATCATAAAAGTGAGGGGCCCACCTGGCCCCAAGGAGCAGAGGAGAAAGGTGTTCTCTCTTGCCAGGCTGGTACCCAGGGGAGGAAAACAAGGGACGAGCTGAGCATGCCCAGTTTATTCTTCCCAAATTTGCCAGCTAGTCACGTTACTCTCTCCCCCTGATGCAGAAGGAAGAGGTGTGACAAAGCCAAGAGTTAACCTTCATTGAACTCTTGCCACCTAGAAGAAAACACCCAGGGTGGAGAAGAAAGATTCCCCCATAATACGCGTCTTACGTGGGAAAATCAAATGAAAGTCACGGTGGAGCATCCGGAACTCAACACCACTCTCCTGGTTTCTTCCTCCTCGCCTGCCTCGTCTCAGTCTCCTTCCCTGCGTCTCTTCCCTCGCCCAGCCTTTAAGTGTCGGAGGCCCAGGGTCTGCTCCTTGGTCCTCTGTTCATACTCACCCTCCTATGTGAGCTCTGTGAGGACTTGAAATACCAGAAACAGGTCAAATCTCCTCTTTTAATTTTCCATATCTAGTATAACCTTAATATCAAAATCTAATTAAAATAGAACTAAAACTATAGGTTGTATTATGAATATAAACACAAATCATGGAACCTAGGAAGCATATCAAAATATCAGTTGTAGTAGATAATTGCGTACCACACAGATCATGCCCCACCCCTTTTATTGACCCAATTACTCCAACTGATGGGAGCGTGGGTGGCTGACAGCTCTCAGCTGAGTCCCTCTCTGGGCACCGGCCTTGACTGAAGAGGGCACCTCACCAAGCTCCAAGGTTATACCTTCCTCCTGATGGAAGCAGGGGCACAGAGGCCCAGCCACCTTGCCTCAGTCCAAGACGCTCTGATGATCCATCCAGGTCCAGAGTCCCTGTGGGGTTAGCAGTTCACCTTCTGTCCAGTCCTGCTTCCTTCACTCCTTCCAAGTTGTTACTGCACATAAATTTCCATCTTAGAACCTGTTTCCATGGAACCCAACAGCAACATCAATAGACAACAACCAAGTTAGTTTCTATGCAAGAATACAGAGAGAATTCAACATCCGGAATTCTAAGCTGGTAATGAAGTGAATTATACTTGATAGAGGAGGTAGAAGAGACTATACCAATGGCTACCAAATTGGCATTTCACACAAATCAGCAGTAATTCCTAATAAAAATTATGTAGAAAATAGGGTTAAATGAAAAAATCAAAACTACTTCTAGTTCTGGGTTTTAATGAAACTGCCCTTAATCTTTTCCCATGTAGGGTATTTGCTATCATACGTTATAAAGACTATCTACCAAAAACTATTATTCAATATTTTTGGAGATATTAACAAGCATGACATATAAAAAGTAAGTGCTCAGAACAAATATTTGAAAAAGAAACAAATCTTTTGCAGATGCTATAATTGCATACCTATAAATCAAGAAAACCCTAGAGACTTAGGTAAAAAAGAAAAAAATTAAATATTTTTAGACCTAACAATTTCTTATGGTGAGAAATATCAGATATATATCCAAAACTAGATTTTCTCTGTATTAAAAATAAAAAGCTAGAAATGAAAATGGAATAAAATCCCATTCACAATAGCAATAAATCTAAGATATCTAGAAATAAATTTGCCAAAAATGGTCCAAGATCTGTCTGGAAAAATACTGCAAAATCTAATTGAAGAATATAAAACAAGACCTGAACAAATGACAAGACCAAATGACAACACATATTGTGTCCCTAGAAGGGGGACAAAATATATTTTTTTAATTATATAATTTACAATACAATTATTTTAAGTTATATGTAATTTTGAAAAAATTAACCTCATTGATATAAATATGTGAATGTAATATAATGTAAATGTATGAATATAATGTATTTTCAACCAGAATTCCAATGGATAATTTTGAAATTTAATCAAATTACTTCAAAATTTTTATGAAGAAATGAATGTGTAAATTATGAAAACTATGACTCATAGAGCATTTACCATGCCAGATATTGACTTATCATAAAGCCACTGTAAGAAAACGGCACGGTATTGTCAAAGGAACAGACACAGGGATCTATCTAGTTCCTCCACTGTAGAGAAAATTTGTGCTTCAGTGGACAACGATGCCCTGTCTATAGCACACGCTTTCTCTGGCCTGAGACTGGGTGAAGGAAGAGGATGCAGTGAGGGAGACTGAGAAGAGACAGTAGGTAGGAGGAAGCCAGGACAGTGGTGTTGAGTTCCAGGTGCTCCACGGTGGCTGTCATTTGATTTTCCCACAAATGTAAACATACCTTGCGGCTATTTTAGAACACTGTAAATTGTAGATAACTGATAACCCTGAAAAATCATTCAACCCTCCTCTCCCTCCGGCCCCTGGCTTGCAAAAAAGCCTTTGCACCTTTCTTTTACACATTCGTTTCACTCATTTCAACATTCTTGATCTATAAAGATGTCTGTTCTTCGGGTTCTCCTCTGAACAGGTTGGAACGCCTCACCAGTTTCTTTATTGATTAATTCGATGCAAATGTTAACTTGTGTTTATTTTTATGAATGTCGTGATTTTAACTTTTTTTTGAAAATTATAACAGTTTTGGAAATCTTTCACTGGGAAGCCCAATGGATGCCCCCAACAGTGGGCTAAATTTCATCGCCAGAGAAGTGCACCTTGCGGGCTGCTTAAGCCCAGCTGTGTCTTTCTCGGCTCAGAGAGGTAAATCCAAAGCAGTAATCAAACGCGGCTGGACTCTGTTTTTCTAATTTTAATTTTTCTCCCTCCTAACTTTGTGTTTTGCTTTTTGGTTCATTTGTGGCCTTTAAGTCATTTCTTACTAGTGGCGGCAAAGATTGGGAATTTGGTTTTATGATCTCGCCATTGGATAATCTCTGTAAATTGATCAATGGTTTATAGAGATCTACTCTCTGTTGGATAAGAGAAGACAGAGAATCTGGTTTATTTGTCTTTTTGTTTGTCTATTTTGACCTCAGTTCATTAGTAATTACATGGCCACCAGGAAGGAGAACATCTCTTTGATATCTGGACTGGTGAGCTTTTATGTGTCTGTCTTTACCCCTGACCCACAGCTGGAATTGCAGAATTGAAGTTATAAGCTTGCTGTCTGTCTATATGTTTATGTGTCGATAATTTAGAAAGTCCTTTACCTGTGATTATGTAAGTGAATGTTTTCATATGTCCACATAGTATTAATAAACTAGATTACAACATCCCTTAAAGTAAATGAGCTCTTTCCTAACTGGCTCACAGACATAGATAAGCACTCACACAAATAGAATATACCTAACTGTTCTGGAAAAATTAGGCAATTGTAATTTAATACTTTAAATGTGCTAAATAGAAAAAGTCGTCTTTAAAAAGCCAGCTGAGAAGGTGAAAAGAAAACCCATAGACTGGGAGAAAATATTTGCAAACCGTATGTCTGATAAGGGACTTGTATCCAGAATATATAAATAACTCTTACAACTCAGCAATAAAAAGACAACCCAGGTAAACATGGGCAAAGGACTTAGATATTTCTCCAAAGCATAAATACACATGGTCAATAAGCACAGGAAAATATGCTCAAAATCATTAGTCATTAGGGAAATGCAGATCAAAGCCACAGAGTTAGAACTTCATACCCACCAGAATAGCTATAATGAAAATGGCAGACAATAACATGGAGATATTGGACTGCTCATCCTTTGTTAGTGGGAATGTGAAATGGTGACAGTTTCAAAATCTTAATACAGTTACCTATGACTCAGCAATTCTACTCCTAGGTATCTACCTAAAAGATGTGAAAATATAAGGCCACACTGAAACTTTTGCATGAATGTTCATAGCAGCCTTATTCACAATAGCCCAAAAGCTGAAACAATCCAGATATCCACCAACCAATGAATACACGATACAAAATGTGGCATAGCCAAACAATGGAATGCCATTAAGTATTAAAATGGAATGAAGTATTGACCCATGCTACAAGTTGGTGAACCTAAAAAGAATTGTGCTAAATAAAGGAAGCCAGACACAAAAGACAAGATACGACACGTCTCCATTGATATGAACTGTCCGTAACAGGCAAATCAATGGAGACAAAATAGATGAGTGGTTGCCTAGGCTGATGGGCATGACTGCTTTTAGGGGTGATGGAAATGTTCTAAAATCAGATTGTGGTGATTTTTGAACAACTATAAATATACCAAAAAACATTGAATTAGACACTTAAAATTGAATTTAATGATATGTATATCTAAAGCTATTTTTAAAAAGTCAATTCAGGAATATTTTAAGAATTCAGGTTTACCTCATTTAAGTAAATCTTTGGCAAATAAGATTACATTAATATTTTTAGTTCAAAAACAAAGCTGTATCTTCTGATTTAGTGTTATATCTTCTTTCATTTACCAGTGTTAAGTATAATAAAAGAACATATTTTTATTCTACTCGAGTATGTTCTTCTTAAACTGATATAGGTTTACTGACCAAGGGGGCTAACACTATTCCTACGTGTTTAAGATCATAAAAATCTAAATTTGCATTTGACTAAATTGAATCATTATGATGATGAACTTGTATTTATTTCAACATCATGTTTTGTAGCTTGTCCATTTGATGATTTCTAAGATCTTTAGATAACTTAAAACCTTGAACTGATATTAAATTAACTAATGATATTCACTGGACGCCTAGATAATTTCCAAGTAAAATAGAATCATGAAACATGGACTAAGCGTGATTTTAAGCTCATGTGATTTCACTTCTTATTTTGATATGCTACAGAGAGGCTATATCTTTGGGTCTGTAAAGAATATTTTCATTTTTGCCACTGAGAAGTTGTGTAAGGAATGCGTGTGGCTGGAGGAGGCTGTGGATGTGTATTCACGAGCTCTGGCAGTCAGCTAAAATGCTGGTGTGTGACCACAGCTCTTAGTTACTATCCCCTAGGTCTCTCTGTAAAACAGTTAACGACTTTTTTAAAATCATTAATGTGATTAACATAATTAATGTAAGTGGTTGAGACTATACTTGGGAGCAATAGTTTCAGAGAAATACAATGATGCACAGGCTTCTGTTTTGCAAGGAAAAGAGTTTTGTCCTAAAGCAGCAGTGTTCAGGGTGTTCTTGTTCTCCAAACTTCTTTACACTCTTCAAACTTCTAGAGGACTCATTTGTTAAAAGTCTGATCTGAGACACCTTATGTGAACTTACAGCAAAGCAAGCTTGAGGATTGTGGGGTAAGTTAACATTCCTGGTGCGCTTATGTACGTAATCAGGCCCAAACTCATGAGACCAGCCTTACTCTGTGATCAAGAATAATTTTAAGATTAACTTTGGTTGGAAGTGGGGAAAGGGGCTGACCCCATGGCCTTGCACTCCACTTTGGCAGCCAGGGTTCGATCCCCAGGCACAGACCTACACTGCTCATCGGCGGACATGTTGTGGCAGCAACCCACATACAAAATAGAGGCAGATTGGGATGGATATTAGCTCAGGGATTATCTTCCTTAAGCAAAAAGAGGAAGATTGGCAGCAGATGTTAGCTCAGGGCCAATCTTCCTCACTAAAAGAAGAAAAGTGGAGAGACAGTAGGGGAAATTTATGCTTCAATGGAAAACTATGGAAGGATGTGTCTATAGCACCTCCTTCTGAGTTTGATTCTGATTTGTGGGAGCTATTTGACAACTCTGTAAACTGTAGACAATCTGATGACAGTGCAAAATGATTCTTGTTGTGAAATGCAAATGAACCCTCGACTCCCCCCGCCCACCAAAAAACAAACTCAGCTCTGTTTGCACATTCATTTCAATATTTCTGATCTATAAATGTGAGTGTTCTTGGAATTCTCCTTTGAACTGATTGTACCACCTCACCAGTTTTCTCATTTAGTTAAATAAAATATTTAATGTTTCATCTTGACGTCTGTATGAGAGTCATGATTTTACCTTTTCTTAAATTCTTTTAACACTATTCTGTGGTGCTGACTTCCGTGCCGTGGAGAATTTGCCCTGTGATGAAGGCTGCATTTCAGT